TGGGGACACCATTTGAGGATAAAATCGGAGGAAGAACTGCTGGGACCAACTTCCTGTTTGAAAACAACATCCCTTTGGTTTGATCAGCATTTAGGACAAGTTTGAGGTGAAACAAATCTGTCTGGACGATGTCAAAGGCGGATTGCAAAAGATGGAAAGCCTTATCAACTGTTTTAGCTCGACAGTAAACAACTGTGTCATCAGCATAGAAATGTATAGATGCATCAGGGGCTGAGACAGAAAACATGCAGGATAGACTTTATTATTTAGAGCAGTTTACCACAGGGCAGACTATGATCTTGGTTAGAAGTTGTATGTACGAGTCCATCAACTGCTTATGTGGAAGCAAAAAGGCAGAGTGAAACTTTGGTAACAGAACAAAAATAACACCTGCCTTTATAGATAAGGTTCTGAACGGGTCAGTTTTAAGGTCTGATGATGCTGCAGCTTTAAGAGCTTATACGTTCTTTTTAAGAAGCTGCTTCAACACAATGGATGAAGCTGGGTTTATTGACAAGCTTCAAAACTCAACCAATAAAAGGATTCTTGTTTCAAAGTTGCCTTTTAGACTTTGTGATAAATGGCGAATAATTATGGTTGACAGCACAGAAGTACGATTGTGGAGCAAAGCTTCAAGATCTTCTTGATTTTCTGGAAAAACAAACAAGAGCTGATTTAGATCCTGTTTTTGGGGAGAGTCAAAATCCAAAAGAAAAGATGACATTAAAACTATCAAAAGTTCCTTTTAAAACTAAAAGCAGCAGTTTTGCTGCTTCTGTTGCTGTAGTTTCTGAACAGAACAATGACCAACAGGAACCGGAAACAGGTTCGGTTTAGCCGTGAAGATACAAACGTGGTTCAGACTCGGTGCTTGTTTTGCAACAGAAAGTTTCTTTGGAGAAATGTGACTCGTTCCGGCAGAAACCCAACAAAGAAAAGGATTCAAGGTTCTTTATCGTCATTCTACCACATGTGCTCTGAGCTATGTTCACAGGGTCCCAGTTACATCCAACAATAAAATTAAAATAAAAACAGTGATAACATCAAAGATATGAACTAAGAGAAACATCAACTAAATATACACGAAGCACTAAAGGTATATAAACAATGCTCCCAACAGCAGCACGAACATGAGTCTGTGTGAGAAGATGAGCACGCATGAACACATCAACATGAAACAGATCAGCAGCAACATGAAGCAGATCAGCAGCAACATGAAACAAATCAGCAGCAACATGAAACAGATCAGCAGCAACATGAAACAAATCGGAAAAAACATGAAACAGATCAGCAGCAACATGAAACAGATCATCAGCAGCATGAAACAAATCAGCAACAACATGAAACAGATCAGCAGCAACATGAAACAGATCAGCAGCAGCATGAAACAAATCAGCAACAACATGAAACAGATCAGCAGCAGCATGAAACAAATCAGAAACAACATGAAACAAATCAGCAGCAACATGAAACAGATCAGCAGCAGCATGAAACAAATCAGAAACAACATGAAACAGATCAGCATCAACATGAAACAGATCAGCAGCAGCATGAAACAAATCAGCAGCAACATGAAACAGATCAGCAGCAGTATGAAACAAATCAGAAACAACATGAAACAGATCAGCAACAACATGAAACAAATCAGCAACAACATGAAACAGATCAGCAGCAACATGAAACTGATCAACAGCTGCATGAAACTGATCAGCAGTGACATGAAACTGATCAGCAGTGACATGAAACTGATCAGCAGCAGCATGAAACTGATCAGCAGCAACATGAAACAGAGCAGCAGCAGCATGAAACAGATCAGCAGCAACATGAAACAGAGCAGCAGCAACATGAAACAGATCAGCAGCAACACGAAACAGATCAGCAGCAACATGATGCAATTCTTCACAGTGATCATCCTGGTTAGAGATTCATGAGTCTAACAGCCTCAGGTGACATTTCTTAAAACTAACGGTTTATGCTTTGGCTGCTTGCAGAAGGGGCATATGAGTAAGGATTGTTCACAGAGTGTGACATGCCTCACCTGTAATAAAAGTCATCCTACTGTTCTGCACATTAAACCAAAAGAACACCAGTGACAAGCAGTTAAGGCCAGATGTAAAGAATCACCAGTCTCAAATGCTCTTGTATCTTTGAATCTTGGTATGTATCCTGGGGCCGGGTCTGATAAGTGTGCTCTGTCAGTGGTTCCAGTAAAGGTAAAGTTGGAAAAGGGAACAAAGTTTGTGCAGACTTATGCCTTCCTAGATCCAGGCAGCTCTGCAACGTTTTGTACTGAGCCTTTCATGATGCAGTTAAATGCATCTGGAAAGAAAGTGGAGGTCATGCTAAAAACCATGGGTCAGGAAAAGCCTACAGGTGCTGGTCAT